ATTTTTCTCATATTAATGGAAAAATTGAAATACACACGTGCGAATTTTCCGATCATCTATTCAGACTTATGATTTCAAATGGAGGATTTAACAGTGTGAACATGATAAAAAAAAAATCTCATCGAACGGAAAATCCGAGGAAAGTGCAAGAGGATTGTGAAGAGGGAAAAAATGATAGATATGAAATAAGATTTTGCGGACGGTTGGAAATATTTCGTGAGAAAGCTGGAGGTACACTGTGATGAATACGACGAGTTGATGCGGATATCGAGGAGTAAAGAAGAGGATACTGAAAAGATGCTCACGATAGTTCGATAAAAGAACTAAAGGCGGATCAAAAACTTGGGATAGACTAAATGATCCGTTTCCAAGAGATATAAGGTGCCTCGATCGGGCCAGATATGAGTTTTGACAGAAATAGAATGAAAGTACGGAGATGAACGGGACGAGAAAAGTTCGAGAGAGCTTTCAGATATAACCAACTGTTTTATTTTATCACTCTAAAAAAAAAAATGAAGGATTAAAATGAGGGATTAGTTAGAAATTTCTACGGAAAGAATAGGCCGACAGCGAAATAATTACCCTTTATTCATTTCAAAAAATGATCTACCAAAAAAAGTATTCTGTCAAATATTTCGTGGATTCTTTCTGTGATTGTGTGGGTAGTCTGTCTAGTTGATTATTTGTTGAATTGAGAGCGATAAGGTAAGAGAGAAAAAAGAGTGGAAATATCTGGTTCGTCACAATGAATAAACCGGAAATCCTTGAGAGGATTCAGTCACGAATTCCCGGCAGTCATAGAGCCAACGGAATTCCGTATATCTGACTATTGCCACATAACGATACGACGATAACCGTTGACGACATAACGCCCCAATGATATTCGCAAAAACGAAAACGATCAAAGCCCCCCCGGTGCAACATAGAGAACGTAGAGAACATTGTGATAATACCAGATCGCGAAGACATTCTCGTTTTCGATGAGAAACTTGGAATATCCATTCGTTGCGATGCAGAATGCATGGCGAATCGTGCGAGAAAAATTCTTTCACACATCATTGAACTTTTCTCTGAGTTATGGGTTTGCATAAGTATTTGGGAATAACCTGAGTTTTTACGAGTTTCATCGGCAAGTGAATCAATAGACTGGCAAAAAATTTTCGAATTTCAACCTACACGATCCATCGAGAAAAAAATCTCCCATTACCAGGAATTGAAGATATTCTCAGTTAAAAATTCATTGAAAAATAGAAAGACCTTAGAATTGAATAAAAAAATGTAATGAATTAATTATTTGTTTTCATCAGTTAATCTCGGGGATTTTCCGTAAAATTTATTAATAATTCACGAACAGTCCCTGAGGATGAAAAGGTTTTTTAACTTTTTTTTTCAGGTGGAGAGATAGGGTTATTTCGTTCCATGAGATTTGAATTGAACCAGACGGATTAAGGATTAAAAATAGCGAGTGGAATGGCTAAAAAGAATGTGGAGTGGCAGAGAATTGATAACCAATGGGAAAATATGGAGCGAACGGTTAACCAGATATAACGGTTGAATGATCACTCAAGACCAAAACCCATTGCTTCCTGATTCCAAAGTGCTCTCATCTCCAGGTACGAAATGAACCGATGACGCTGAAACCCGAATGGGTCATGCTGGTAATGTCAAAGTGGTCGGGTACGCTGCACTGAGCCGTGATAAACAGTGTGTACTGCTGTGTCTCTTGTAACATTGGCATTTCAATTTGGCTCAGTGCAGGTAAATGGGTAAGCGTGCAACAACCATATGTATTCCCTTCGGCTGTTGCTCTCTATATTCCAATTGTGTGTCCAGGAGATGGATTCTGAGGTTTGTTACACAAATCAAGTGATTAATGACCACCACCCAGTGTGCACTCTCTTCGATTCAATAAACACTTTTCATTAATATCATCAGATTTTTACCAAACGATTTGTCTGAATAATATTCAACTCCAAGGTCTATCTCAGATACTGTATTTACCAAGGAAATATCAGAACTAACAGCTGCATTCCACACCACAGACTAATAACTCAAAACCCCGAAGACAATTTCTAACATTCATGGAAATTCACTTCCGACAAAACCACACCGGAGTCTCGGGTCACTGATGGCATGTCTCAAGCAGAGAATTCTCCACGACCACAACGGAGATTGCTCTGTAGGGGCATCGAAATCGATCACCGGTTCGAGCCACTCAAGCAGAACAAAGGATGCAATCCTGCCCTGTTGTTCAATTCAAAGGTAAATCGAATTTGTTTTATAAATACGACGCATATCGAGCGGCTGAATACGTATCAAGATGTTTTGTGAAGCGTCGGGTCTACCACGATGAATCATGGGATTGTGAGTCAAGATTAGGGATGTTGGATTGATGCAGTGATAGTGTTGATGCACATTCGATGAACTCTCCTAATCCTCTATTAAGCACGATCGAACTTTGATGCTACTACTACTACTATCCTGATCCATTTCGATGGAAATCATGGGAGCTTTGATGCTATCATTCGGCGAGCCTGCCAGCAGTTAATCGCGGGGAGAGAGGAGTTCTAGACCTTTCTATCAACTTCACCACTGAACTTCTGCACTCAGAGTTAAATGGTGGAGTCAGTGCATAAGATCGAAAGAACATCCTTCAATTTCACCGAAGGGAAATGGTGAAATTGTATAACAGGAAGGTATTAAATAATTATTGTTGCGCGAGGATTGACCTGCGTAACGATGAAATGGGGTCAACAACTTGGAGAGTATTCTGATAGTCCACTCATGTACTCTTTCCTCTCTGACACACGAAAATTTTCAGCAAATTATTGTACGTCACGCGAGGCCGTTACGCCAGACGTTGAAGCGGTTGACGGTGTTGTCACACACCGTGGAATATACAACAGATATAAACCGAGAATGGTGAGTATTCCGGGTGTGCACTAAAACCATAAACTTCCAACTTGCGTCTAGTATTTCGCGGGAATAAATCACTACCCAGGGTTATAATGTCTCAGTTCGTCACGAACAGCTGCAGATGAACATCTTGGAGGATTAATTACCAACTGAGATTACAGTTGTTGGTTTTCTGGTTGACCCAGAAAGCCAATGAAGGTACTTAATTTCCAATGGGGAGCCACTCCATTGATTAGATTTCATTAATTATCGGGGTAACGATTAGCTCGAAATGTTTTCCATTGCTAAAAACCGGCAATTTGGAGAATAAAAAGGAAATTGAAAAGATATCCCTCGATTTTTATTTTAATTTCCATCATGTGGATATCATCGGAAAAGACAATTCGCGCGTGAATAGTAAAACCGTAGCAGCTCGTACGAATGATTCGTTCGCACAATGAAACAATTCAATAGGAAATGATGACACTGAAAATACAGAAGCAGTCGATGCATTGAAAACAAGTGGAAATTGGCTTTTGCATCGGCGTGTGTGTAAAAAAAAAAGGGGGAGAGAAACTCCTAGGGATTTTAGCCCATTCAGTGGACAGGTGAGAGTGGAGGGGAACGTCATCCGGCCATTATCCATCTCTTGTTTCTACATGACTACACCCCGAAGGGGATGATAGTAACGAAGAGTGCAGATGAGTTGAAAAGAGGGGTCGACGAGAGGTTTTTCAAGTGGTTTGCGTACTGGTGAGTATACCTCGCATGAAATGAGTGTGGAAAAGCTCTTCTGGATAATGGAAAACTGATTTTTCAAATGGAAAAACATGTTTCCATTTGGAATATCAAAGAACAAAGTGACAAATAATTTTTGTTATTCGTATCGTGACTTTTCAGATATTATACCCACTTTACTCCTCTATTTTCGCTCTCCCTCTCTCAAGTCGTAAAAAATATAACACCGGGTGGAAATTGCGCGACCAATTTGCATTCGTATCCTCTCAACTGCTAGTGGAGACAAAAAGGAATAAAAAGTTGGAGAAGATAGAAGAAATAATGATTTTTACGAGGACGAGGTACAGTAGGCAAGGGCGAAAAGCTCTTTCACGACATTTTTCTCCGAGAGTGTAAAAAAAAAAAAAAAACGGAAACGCTCTTCTTTCGACTAGGGCCCTCTTTTCTCTAGTTGGTAATCGTTTCTCTCGAGTGGAATAATTTTCAGTGGGTCGCCCTGAAGTTTAAGGGGAGTGCCACTTACTTTTAACTCTTCAGGTTTTTATTTTTTTGTTTTACCGCAGGTGTGAATTCTGTCTCATTCCCACGGTACAAAAATTTGACACCGTTTTGGGACTGAGATGTAGCGGAATTATTTAGCAATCAAGCGGATGGCGATGGAGGACAAATTTTATGAGTCCCACCCCGATAATTTTCTATCTCAAGTGAACTTTTACTTAATTCTGGTAAATAATTAACTGATTGGCAAAGCAAATTGGAGGAAATATATGTCAACTGGAGAATTAACGTCATGTTAATTGCGCATTTGAATTTTTTTTGTGTCTATTTTCAATTGTATTTATTTTGGAAATATAGATCCGTCAGCAGTGGAGCTCGTTTGGTTTGTCGACATGTTCGCCGATGTGTCACGACTGTCGTATATAGAGGTTGGACAGTACCACCCCGTGTCCCCCTTTTCACGTAATTAAAACGAATCGCAGTGAAGCCTCGAGGCGACGTTTAATCGAGTTGGGGACACTATTCGCAGGATCACTGCTGTCTCCGCACTTTTTAGTATTCACGGGAATTCTTGATTATTTTATTCGGTTGAAAAAATTCAATGTGGAACGGATAGGCGAGACAACATTGACGCTGTTGATTTTCTCTTCACAGACTTTTTTCAACATTTTTGTCTAGACACTTTGAACGCTTTCAATTCCACCGAACGTTTGAAATTTCTACCGGTACAATTTTTTTTGCTAGATTATTCCCCCGTCAATTGGATACTCCTAATCTAAACCGGTGGGCCACGATCGATTATAGATTCGCGAATTAACGAGGGGACCATTGATGACTAATTGAATTATTTCAAGTTCACTAACCTGGAAGTCGAATTTATCAAACTCCTCCTGGGCCTCGATGTCCGCTCCTCTGGGTCTTAGTGATGGACAGGTGGCCATGGAGACGCGAGCATCAGGTGCCTCACTGTAATCTGGAGCAAGTGTTGTTGGCCTCTCGTATCTTACACCAACAGGAGCAGCAAGAAGGGCTGGGGCTTGACCTGACGAGGGCCCCTGTGTTTGGCTGACGTAATAGAGGCACAGTAGTAACGAGAGTAGTACAGCACACAGCAGAAACGTACGGCCCGAGCCGCGACGCAATAACTTGTACATTTTTAACGAGTTGCTCTGTCTCCGTCAGCTGGCTGTTAAGGACGGCACGAAAATAATTTATCAGTGAACCTCCGTTTCGGATATTCACACCATTTCGGAGAGCCGGTGAAGGCCGAGGTCAACCCACTAGTTGTCACTGTTCCCGGGGGACTTCATCGGTGCTTTTTATCCTGGAACAGATAGTTAATGACAAAAATTATTCACTGCCGATGAGAATAAAAATCATTTCGCGCGTGAATATAATTCGCGTTTTTTTGTTATTGACAATGCACTGTAGATCGCTGGAAAATATTATTCTCAGCGTGAACGTTCGGGTGGAATGACACTTCATATTCCCCAGATAAATCATACCAGCGCATTGCCCTCGGTGCAAAATGACGGAAAACACAAATACAAAAAAAAATGGAAATAAAGGAAAACGATTACAGAACTAAACGCACGAATGATCCTGAAAGGGGATTCACGTTGGGTTCGTTTACAGTGAACAAGCGACGAGACATTTCTCGTATTGAGTAACACACTCTCATGCACACATAACTGTGAATATATGTATCCACATAGGGGTAGATTCACTGTGAAAAGGGATTCCCCCGTTTCCATCATGCGAAACGACATTATATCCCCGGCCATTTCCCTCAGTCGCTCGCGAACATAAAATCAGATTGAGTTCGCAGGCGGTGGTGAGATTTTTTCGGCGCCTCCAAAGTCGCTCATTTTCACCAACAAAAGGCGAGACAAGAATCAACGAGAATGAAATTTCTGGGTGACGAGACGAACTCATGATAAACGAATGATTTTTCCCTTTTTTTCAGAATAAAAAATTATTGAGTTCGTCTGCTCTGACTCTATCACGACCAATAAATTTGAATTAAAAATCACTTCTGGACAAGTAAACATGAGAAGAAAAAAAATGAATGAAAGATTCCGTTCATTTTTCCGTTTAATCTTGTTTGTCACATTTGGACGAACGAAATAAAGTACTTGAGGGAATGAAAAAGTCACTGAGCCCTCGACCGAGGTCACATCTCTGGGGTCAACCCGTGCCGACGTCAAACCGGTGGTCCAGCATTTTGTGGCGGTGGTACGCGTTGAACTGAGAGAAAATAGAGGTATGTGAAATGGAAAATGTCGAGATACCACCGGCTGTTTGTATCGCAGGCTAAATAACGTGTAGACGAGGGAACAGGGGGGGGGGGGGACTGGGGCAGTTGATTAAACGTCCAGTCGAAAATTATGACTGATCGATACTCTCGTTGCCACAATTACAACTCGAGTTGATGCCGAGTCACGCGTGATCGAGTGCAGTCGTTGGTCGCAGTTGGTCCAACCCATGTTTTCCAACGAATTGATATTCGTTTGGTTGTACCGAGGGGCCAAACTTCGGCGACATTTATTTTAGCTCTGATTTAATGGCTTCAATTACTTCAACGTCCGACTAACGGGCCTGATTATTATTTTTTTCTCTCAGGGAGTGATTTATCAGAGTATGAAATATATCTTTCATTACTTTTTCCAATATCCTCAAAAGGAGTGGCTACGAATTTTAAAGGCCAATAGTCAATTCAGAAAAATTGCAAATTGAATGATCACTCTCGTAATATGGAAAATTTCATGGAAATGACGCCTTGGAGATATTGGGAAAATGATGCATCAACATTGATCCCCTCACATTTCTCATTCCCTTCGCCGAAAAATTACTCCGAGAAGATAGAAATTCCCACAAAGAAATTGAAATATTTCCTCCTTTTTACGTACGAAGTGCACCCTTACCTTTTTTTTTCACAGATGCAGACAATTCACATCTTGTTATCCTCCCGGCAGTGGTTCCTTTTCGCTGAGTTCACCGAGATTTCGTGTTCACTGGAGCTTCTTGCGAGAGAAGGACGGCCAGAATTCTTTGGATGCTGCCTCGAGGATTTCCGGGGGTTGAAGATGGATGTATGTGAGAAATAAAAATCCCGGGAGCAGATCCAAGAGGTGAAAGAAAAAACAGAACTGAGGGGGCCCAGTCTGGTCGAGAAAAAATTCGGAGGCAAAACTCAGTCGAAATTTTTTATCCCCTATTTTTCTTTGCAACGGTGAGACGACCAGTTTTCGGTGGTACTTTTGAAAAAAGGAGATGAGGACACGGCAGAGTCGACCGCGACGTGTCAAGAGTACTTATCACGATTCACTCGACGACACGACGCCGGCGTCTTGTCGACTCACTGTGGGTGTAGAAGCGAAAAAAGGGGAATAAATTTTTTTCCAAGAGAAAATTCTGTATCCGTCGGTGGGGCAGGGCAAACTCCATCGACGACGCCGTCGACGTAATTTGATTTTCACTCCTTCACACGCCCCCAAAATAGATTAAACTCTAATTTCTCCTTCACGCGCTTTTTTGACTTGCCCACCACCTCTTTTTTTTTATTTATTCCTCCATCTCACTCTTTTTTAACACTTACACTGCATTTGTAATTGCAATCTGCAACAAAAAGAGAGAGTTGAGAATTAGTTGAATGAGTCATTTTCACGGGATATTTAAATATTAATTTTGCAATTGTAGAAATACCGGGAAATTAATGGGAAAGTTGTTCATGGATTATTGTGTGCTGTTAACCAGAGACTCGGTAGAATAGTTAGGGAGAGTTGTGTGGATTATATATATATATATATAGAATGGTGGAATTTTTCATCGACGTTGATAGTTTTCTCCGTATCAGAGAGGATTTGGCGATTTTTCTTTAATTAGTTTTCACTAGATTACCCAGCTCTCTCCATTTTTATGGAAAAATATAGGGAAGTGGTCTGTAAAATTCTGAACCGGAGAAAAGCAAAGTGCAAAATTTTTCGGTAAATGATGCACGTGTCCGCATTACAAAAAATTCAGTCGGCGTTGAAAGTCGCGACAAAACCTCAAATTACCCAAAAACTAAAAAAAAAACTGTGCAAAACCCTCGTAAAACAAGCACACTGACTATCGCTATCTCCCTCCTTCCCATCCACTCAAACCACTGTAGTTTGACATAAAAAATCTTAAAAAAAAGCTTTCTAAAACGCGTTGATGTTTTCGCGTCACCAACAAGATAGAAAAAACTCCAGCCTCCGCCAACCAAAAAGTCGGCAAAAAATTGTATCGCAAAGCATGACAAAAAGACGGAAAAACGACCAATGAAAACACGATAAAAACCTGAAATACGTGACAAGTAAAATAAAAAATCAACTGAACTAATTCACGTTAATCCAACTGGCATTTTTTAATTGCTACGCACGACACGGTGAAAAAAAAAAAATTGAAAGCTTTTTTGTTCTCCGGATGATAGAAAACCCTCGAAGTTCACTGAACAGGAAAGTCAGGAATAAAAAAATAATGGAAAAAAAGCTATCCAATACACAATGAGGATAATGGCGGTACAATCGAGCGAGTGATTCCACATGCACTAATAGTTCAACCATTTGGGGGCCATGTTTGAAAATAAAACGGCTTTTTGAGCCAGTGGTTAGTACACCATCACCCCCTGGGCTATTACACGCCCGTTCAAACGGTTTTTTTTTGTACCTGCGGTCAAAACTTTTCTCAGGAAAAAAAATAACAAATTCCTCTTTATTTTTGTCAACCAAAGCGTTGCAGCGAACAAACTTTGGCCAAGTTTATAGGCACACACTGAGTTTACCGATACTTTACTTGAAGCCATCGAGTGTCATGCATTCACTCAGTTTTCCCTGTGATATTAGAGGGAGAAAAAAGCCGCTTTACAGCCTGAATTTTCACTTCAACACTTTTTTTTTTCAGAGAATAAAATCTAACCGAGAAGAGAACCTCACGCTCGTCGTATTATGACGTACGAAATGGGGAATTAATTATCTGGGTATCCGGAAGAACCCACTGTTTTTGTTTCAAAATGATTTGATGCAAAAATCGAACAATAAGTGCTTTTTCCATTTTTCCGATATTTCGCGGAATTCTACTATTGAAAATCTACAGTGTGATGAGAAAATTTCTGGAGACCAGTCAACTGAATAAATACCATCGTCCTGCGACTCAAATATTTAAAAATTCCCAGAGGCGTTTCCACTTTTCACTAGCGGCTCGAATGTCTCGAAAATTATTTTCAATCATTCAATGAATTTCAATCAATTTTCAAAAAAAATATTGTCATGTGTTTTTCGAAAAATTGGCTAGTCCCCGTGGACGAGAGTCATGACAAAAAAAATTTATCTCACAATCACAAAACACTGAACAACAACAAAAACTGATAAAACTGAGGAATAAGTGTTTACATACGCTTTTTCCCACGAGGAAATTCCTTTTCCCCTCAGTCATTTGAATCCTCTGAATGAAGAATAACTAACCATGCCCCGAAATATCATCAAGCCCTTTAATTCCTCTAAACAAACCCCCCGAAGCCTTGCCAAGCCCCCAAAAAGGAACTCCCCTATTCAATTCTCAAAGCTCTCAACTCACTTCCGAAGAAAAACTCCAGAACAGAACAAAACACATAGCAACGAAAAAAAAGAAGAAAAAAAAAATTGTTGTCCAAGGAATTTTCCCAGCACCGGGGGCTCTCACCGGATACAAATGCTGGCCCATACCCCAGGGATCTTAACCCCCTCCGAAAGTCATGCGAGAAAGTCTCCCCGGAGTTACTAGGTTCTTATCTCTACTCCAGGAAACTCCAAACTCCCAAGTCAACTTTTCGAAAAATTTCCCAGGAGAGAGTGTTCTTATACCGTGTGTCTCGTGTCCTTCCACCTAGTTTCCGGGATATGATGGCAACATCCGCGAATAAAAAGCCAAGATTTTCACCCAGTACCGTCAACGTTACACCACCACCTCCTCACTATTTCCATCGATCAGACAAATCGATAACATTTATAAGTATCGGTTTAGTGTCAACCCGTTGGTGATAAAAAAAAATGTGTGCGTTCGGAACGGAGCACCACGTACGACTGGTGTGTCTCGAGCCGAATGCTTTTGACACGCCGTCGGCAGTGAGGTTTTTACCGTTGGCGTAACGTCGGCGCATGTGCCAATAATCTGGTCGGCGTGGATACGCCGAGAGAGAAAATCCACCTCATCCCCTCAAAAAGTGTGAGTGGAAAAGGCGAGTGAGAGTCAGACGGGATACGGCAAGACCCGACAGATAGAGACAAGTGGAAAAATACGTGTGGGAGAGGACTTCATGGATGTGAGAATGTATTTACACAAGGTGAATCTACCCTAGATTCGCTGGCAGATGTCGAGACTGATTCAATGCCCATTTTCATGACTCATAACTGGCAATACCAAACCCAGTGATTTTTCAAAAATGAATTTTTTCATTTTTAACGAAGTGATGTATACGATTTTAATTCCAATATAACGTGAGTGATTCATATAAAATATTTCCACCAAAATATCCTCTCAAAACTCCTTTCTCATCCACTTAGCCCGAAAATTAGGATTTTTTCTTCCCCTAAATATGTATCCGGCCCCTTTCACTCTGTCAATACTTGAAGAGTAAAAATCGTCACCCTCTCATAATTAGATTATCGAAATATCGGCTGGGGTAAAACAGAAGGGTGTGTAACTGGATTTTCCCTTGAAATTTGAGGATTCAACGAGTTTATCCAGGGACACCCTAGGGGACCTCTCATGACAGCCTTCGTCCCATCAATTTTTCACCCCAAAAACCTTTCAGACCAACTTCTAGCTGATAAAGAAGGAGAACACGCCGTGGAAATATGACAAAAGATTAATAAAACGCGGATTATTACGCCGATTGGACCAGAAGTTAAAACACAGGGGGACGAATGTCCCTGTTTCATTCTCTCCAATCATAAAAATTAAAATGGAACGAGAGACAGATTGAAGCACCGAGTCATAAACCATCAGCAGGAAGTCCTCATTGTCTTCGTTATATTGTGTGATCATTCAATTATCTACGTTTCTTCAATACCCGAATCTCCATTGCTCCAATGGATTTAAATAGTTCATTAATTCCTGATCACTTCAAAAAAAGATGGAAAATTTAATTACTCAATTTTCCATGAATATTAACTCAATGCCACTAAAGTTTCTGAAATACTCCGCGGATACATCGGACTCGCTATCGAGCGTCGAGATAAATGCACTACCGAGAAGATAGAGCTTTTCATACCGCACTGTTAAAAATTTTTGATTGAAATTTCCGGTACACTTCACCGAGTGGAATTTTTTAACAAAATTCTAGTGACAGTACTGAAAAAATCATATTCTACCGAGTATGAAAACTTATGGATTATTCGAGTGACAGTTGTAGCGATTCACGTGGAAATTGAAACAGTGGGAAAATTTTGTATCGCAATTAATTTTTCCATAACGTTATTTTATGCTGTAATTCGCTTGAAATTTCTGGAAATTCTGTTATTGAAAATGTACTATTTTGTGGAATAATCGTACGAGCTGTAGACACGATTGATTGAAATTTCACTGAATTCCCACTGAAATCTGCGATTCCCTCATGCCAAAATTTTTTGCTAACAACGCGCAGTGACTCATAAATTGTCTACAGACCAAAAAAAAATGGAGAACACGACAGAACGATTAATACGAAACAGTCTGAGTAATAAAGACCGGACGGAGTAGTCAGTCGACGTGGCAAAATCATCAGCCCGAGGGCTTGAAAATGCCCAACGGCTTCTCATTGTGTCTCATCACTGCAATAATATTTCCCTACAGACGTGACAAGCTGAGCTCTTCCGGTTTCACGTGGTTTTTTCCTTCTCTCCGTTTCACCGCTCCTTCAACACCCCTTTTATCATCCCCTGTACACCCGCGAATTCTCCCCCCCGTCGACGTCCATTAGCGTACCAATTACCCACGTCCGACACACCTGCGCACGTTTCACCTCACTTTGTCCCTTTTTTTTTTCTTTATTGTTTTTCTTCCACTCGCGAGAAGAAATACAGGGGAAAAGTCGATTAACGGAGACGGCGACATTGTGTATTTTACGTGTCTTACGTAAATAGAGAGAGAAAAAAGCCATTCAATTAAGAATGCTAGAGCATTCGCTGAGAATTTTCTATTCAAACTCATTCATTTGTGAATCAGTTTTATTTCCTTCATTAGAATTTTGAAGAATAATTTCGGTATATATTCCAAGATTTTTCAATTCACATTTGACAATTTACATAGTCACCCGAGATTTGAGAATATCCCAGATCTCTCGGAAATACTCTGGTGAATTCACCGATGCATTTACCACCCTCTCATTTCCCTGCATCCTCCAATAATTCAAGTTCCCTCTTTGACGCAGTCGTCGATCAAAAATGCTCATTGACCCCTTCATTCCACTCGAGTAAAGAATTCAATTACCATTTCATTCCTCCGAACTCTTAACGAGGATAATTATTCAAAAATCTATTTACCTCTGAATTAAAATGAAAATTTACTGAAAAAAAAACCCAGAACTGAATTTTTACGTCATTATCACCGAACCTTAATGCCCAGAAAAAAATATATAA